CTATGGGTTAAGGGGTACAAAAAGGGGGTACAAAAATTGTGAATTTCATGGTCCCTGCCCCCACCCCCCTGGAGGGTTGGGGCCAAAACTACTAAAATTAATGAAATCTTTAAAAAATATTCTTAACTCCTGGACATCAAGCAGTCAAACTGTTGGCATGAATGTAATGAGCATTGAGTCCTCTACCAAAATTGTGAAATTCATGGTCCTAGGGTCAGACTGCCTCTTATATATTTATGACGAAAAAAGGTACTTCTAACAAAATAGTGAATTCCATGCCTCAGGGTCAGGGGTATCGGGGAGGAGGGGTTAGGGGGGGGGTACATAGTCTGAAAATAAATTAATGGCTTTGAAATCTGCTCTTTGGTATTAATCAACCATTTATGATGAAATAAAATTTATGTTAAAATTTCCAAAATTTTGAAATACAGGTAAACTTTGGTATCTCGACATCGGATATGTTGACAACCTGGGATATGTTGACATCCATCCGCGGTCCCGGCATTATTTACTATATAAATGATTTGCAAAAACTCTGATATGTTGACCTCGGTTTTGTCGACTACCCTGCCTACTCTCGACGTATATTCACAGTCCCAAGAGCAAAATTTACCTGGTATATGTCGACATCGGGGCAATTTTCCGCTCTACTTAGCCTAATTGTTTGTCAGCTGGTCGCTCGTCATGCATGGATGACTCCGTGTATCTTGACGTCATCAGAAATTCACACCTTTCACACCCATGTTTTGACTACATACCAAGCACCCTCGGTGTCTCAGAGACATTAATTGTTTAATATTTAGCAGGTTAACCTGTTCAGCTTGGGTAATATCATTGATAGATCTGCTCGATTCTGCGTAAATGTACAACCAATTTTTATGTCGAAATCTAACATAACTTTAGCATTTTGGAAAAAAAAAAAAAAAAAAGTAGCTGAATTACAATGAATAATATGCATATTAAATTCAATTTAACTTAGAAATTGTGGTAAAAATGCATTCAACAGGAAACAATCCAATCTGGGGCATGCACACGACTATTAGCCATGATATCAATGCATGTGTTACATCATTGAGCTTGATTTAATACGCAAATCCTTTTAGATTTTGATTTGAAAATGAAATGAAAAATAATGATGAATGATGATGGAATGAAAATTAAGTGAAGTGAAATATCTTTTAAAAATACGCATTGATTTTTTTCCCGTATCATGGAGGTCGACTTTATACCGTTTTGATTTGGAGTTTATGGAGTGCATTTCGTATCCTGTTCTGACAAAGCAAGTTGCACGCGGAATGCTGGATGGAAAACTTTTATTAGTAAAATTAAAAGATTTCCATAAAAAAAGGGAAGTATTTTATTAAATTATATTTGTGAATAATTCCACAAATTTTCTTATAAATATAGAGGGATAGCTGAAACAAATGAGTTACGTACAGTCTATTGAAGACATGTACGTAGTAACATGTAGATGTTTTACTATGCAGTACTTGAATTAAGGATGTCAAGTCTCAACTCTGATATCTCGACACCTTGGATATCTTGACATTTCTCGATTGTCCCGCTGATGTTGAGATAACAAAGTTTACCTGTATGTGGCCCCAGGGTCAGTGGTTCCTGTGGGGTGGGGTGCACAACTGGTTATAAAGTGGAAGTGCATTTTCCCTATTACTCTGATCTACCTCTGGGTATTAAGTAACTAGAGTAAGCATGCTTAGTGTATAATTATGATAAGCAATGGTACCTCTTTCAAAATTGTGAATTTCATGGCCTCTGGTTTTAAACACGAACCAAATTCCATTGTCGGAAAGTTAAATTGTTAAATGATACTCAGGTGACCTATAAGGCCCGTGGGCCTCTTGTTGAAATTTATGGCTTTATAAAAATATCTGAAGTAATTATTGGCTAAGAATCATCATGATTTGTCAGTGATGTGTCTTGGAGCTTTGGAGAATGTCAACCTAAAAGTAGGTAATGGTTACCTACTTTTGAAATTTTATGGCAATGTTAAAATATCTCTGGTAATGATTGGCTTAGAATCATCATGATTTGTCATTGATGTGTCTTGGATCTCTGGAGAACATCAACCAAAAAGTAGGTTATGGTGACCTACTTCTGAAATTTTATGGCTTTTTTAGCTCAATTTTTAAATTGATTTGAAGGCATATTTTGGACACTTTAAGGCCTATGATCATCAAACTTTGTCAGTTGATGCATCTTGGGTCCTCGAACAATGTCAACTTAAAATTAGGTCATCGTGACCTACTTTTTGAACTTTATGACTTATCTTTTTAAAAACATTAAATCCCATTATTTCAGACACTGGGAGGTTTAGAATCATCAAATCTTGTACTTTGATGCATCTTGGGACCTTAAAACATATTTATGAAAAAGAAGGTTACTGTGACCTACTTTTTGAATTTTGCCAACATTTGTTTTCAAATTGTTTAAAACGCATATTTTGATTACCTTCAGACCTACAATCATCAAACTTGGTCAGTAGATGCATCTTGGGTCTTTGAAAAATGTCGACCAAAATGTAGGTCACGATGACCTACTTTCGACATTTTATGACTATATTTATGTATCTTAGGTATTTATTGGCTTAGAATCATCAAACTTTGTGAGTTGATGCATCTTGGGTTTTCAGAGAGTGACGATCAAAAAGTAGGTCATGGTGACCTACTTTTGACATTTTGTGGCTATAATTAAGTATCTCTGGTACTTATTGACCTAAAATCATCAAACTTTGTCAGTTGATGTATCTTCGATTTTTGGAGATTGTCTACCAAAAAGTAGGTCACAGTGACCTACTTTTGACATTTTATTGCTATATTTAAGTATCCCAGGCACTTATTGGCTAAGAATCATCAAACTTTGTCAGTTGAGGCATCTTGGGTTTTCAGAGAATGTCGAATAAAAAGTAGGTCACTGTGACCTACTTTTGACATTTTATGGCTATATTTAAATATATCTGGTACTTAATGGCTTGAAATCATCAAACTTTGTCAGTTGAGGCATCTTAGGGTTTCATTGAATGTCCAACAAGAAGTAGGTCATGGTGACCTACTTTTGAATATCTCAGGTACTTATTGGCTTAGAATCATCAAATTTTGTCAGTTTAGGCATCTTGGGTTTTTGGATAACGTCGACCAAAAAGTAGGTCACCATGACCTACTTTTGACATTTGATGGCTATATTTAATTATCTCTGGTACTAGTTGGCTTAGAATCGTCAAACTTTGTCAGTTGATGCATCTTGGATTTTCAGAGAATGTTGACCAAAAAGTAGGTCATGGTGACCTACTTTTGAATATCTCATAATTATTTAATTAGAATCATCAGTCTTTGTCAAATGCATCAAACTTTGTAAGTTGATGCATTTTGGGTCTTATGATACTAACAGAGTTGGAGGCTTCTAATAGAAGTGATAGATAGTACAATTTATCAGAAGAGTGATTCAAGGCCCTTGGGCCTCTTGTTTATTATCTCAAGTACTTATTGGTTTAGAATCATTAAACTTTGCCAATTGATGCATTTTGGGTCCTCAAATAATGTCAAAACCAAATAGGAGTTACAGTGACCTACTTTTAAAATTTTTTGGCTATATTTCAATGTCTCAGGTATTTGAAGTATAGAATATCAAACTTTGTCAGTTGATGCATTTTGGGTCCTCGGAAAATATCAACCAAAAACAAGGTTACGGTGACCTACTTTGAAACTTTATGGCTATATTAATTTATTTTTAGGTCCTAATTGACTTTGAATCTATATCTTTGTCAATTGATCATCTTAGGTCCTTTGAGAATGTCAAACAAAAATTTAGTCATAGTGATCTATTTTTAAATTTTTGTGGCTTTATATCAGGTCACTGTGATCTACGTATGGCCATATTTAAATACCTCTAGTAGTGGTAATTGGCTAAGAATCATTAAGCTTTGTCAGTTGATGCATTTGAGGTATTTGGAGAACATCAACTTAAAAGTAGGTCACAGTGACCTACTTTTTGAAATTTTAAAGATAATTTAGGTACTTATAAGCTAAGACTTATCACAGTCTGTCAGTTGATGCATCATGGTCCTCAGAATGTGTTAAAGAAAAAGTAATCATGGTTATTTACTTTTGGTATTTCATAACTATTTCATAATATTTCAGATAATAAGGGCGTAGAATCATCACACTTTGTCAGTTGAGTATCCTGGAATTTCAGAGTGTTGAACAAAAATGTAGGTCATTTTGACCCACTTTTGGAATTTCAAGGCTTTATTTAAATATACAGGATTCTTAGAGGCTTCAAATAGAAGTGATAGGTTGTGCAATTTATCAGAAGAGCAATTCAAGGTCCTTGGGCCTCTTGTTTACATTTTCATCTCAGGAACCACTGGGTCAATGTCAACCAAACTTGCCACAAAGTATCCTTGTGTAAAAGCTATTCAAATTTTTAATTGAAGGGCCACACTTTCCTTCAAGGGGATATTAAGATATATATGAAAAATTAATGGCATCTTTGAAAAATCTTCTCAAGAACCAATGGACCTTGAAAGATGAAACTCATTTGAACTTATGCTCAGGTGATGTAGATTAAAGATTGTTCAAATCATGACCCCCTGGGGGAAGGGTGGGGGTACAATGGCAGATCAAATTTTTACATAGGTGTATATATTAAATTTTTTTTAAAAATCCTCTTATCAAGGTGAGGAAAGATTCAAGCTTTTCAAATCATGACCTCTTGGGGTTGGATGGGCCACAATGGCTTATCAAGGTGTTATCTCTATCTCGAAGCCAGAATGTGTTGTTAATATTTTAGCATACACTTGGTATGGGATAAAGAATATTTTTATCATATGGTTTGTATCAACCTCACATTTGAGATGAATATAACCATATTAATAGATTGTTAATGACTATATAATTGCTTTTACTTTGAAATGAATGCTTGTTGAAAAATTAAGAAAAATTACTCTGTTGACATCTGTGACTTAAAAACTTCTTATTTTTTAGTCTATTTGGTCTTCTCCCGGCCCTTCTCCTTTGGAAAAACTTTTGGAAATGCAGAAACAGAAGAGAACCACAGACCCTCACTGAAATATCTGCCGCTTCACCATGTTAACAGTGGGGCTTCAAACCTACAGCTTGTAAAGTGTTAAAGCTCAATGGAATTTTCCAAACAGTCTTAGCTGTTTGACTTAATTTGCAAAATCTGTTATTTTTCTGTTCCTAGGAAAACTTCTGCTTGTATGTATCTATTGGAATGTGGCACAATGCAAACACCAGATAATTAAGCAAGATCATTTTTATACCGTTCAATTGCAGTTTCTGAAATACATGTAACATCAAAAACATTGTTAATATGATACATTTCTTTAGTGAAATTGACTTTAAACTGTGTCTGATATTTAATTCCGAGTCGGAAATAAATCGGTTATTAATATTGTTTTAAATCTTTGATATATATGAAATTTGATTGAATCAGATTTAAATTGTGTAATTTACAGGAAAGTCCTATCTTTATATAAGGTAACAAAACAACTAGAAATATCATTTAAATTTTAAAAAGTCTGAACTTATCAAAATTAGGCCATATATGACTTTAATAGTCTTTTTGTGTACAGCGTCTATCATAAGTGATTGAAATTGTTATGTAAAAAAAAATGACAGTTAAACATGTTTTGAGATTTAAAAGATTAGATATTTTAATGTTTTTAAAATTCAGTACCTTTAATTTATATCTTGTAGATTAGAGCATTGCTATACCTATTCATTAGTTTGTATTTGCACTTTTGAGTTGGTTTTTTTTTTTCTTTTTTCAAACAAATATAAAACTTTAGGCATTTAAAGCATTCAAAAGTACACATACAAGTAATAAATATAAAACAAGATAAGCATAATTCTATCTTTGTACTGTATACACATAAGTCTGTGAAACGCTCTATTATTTTTTTTAATTTTCTTATTGATAACCATCATTCTTACAGAGTAATGAAAGATTGCCATCCCATTTATCGAAATTTTGTCGATATTAAATGTTTAAATCTGTGTGATATTGAAGTAAGACCTAATTTGCATTAATATTTGCTAATTTAAGAATAAAGGCACTGTGATACACTGATTATTTTGTTACTCATGTTCTTTTGCACCAAGGTTTACATCACCCATGTCAGGGAAGGTGAGATGGGAATCTGATACTTCGTGTAAGCTCTTGACCTTTCCCAATTTCTTATTGGGTTATAAAACTGCAATCTCTAAAATTCACTTAAAGGGCGATAACTTCCGAATGGAAGTGATTTTTTAAAAATTGAATCAGGGGTACAAACTTCAGATAGACATACACAAACTTTGAATGAAATCAATCAAGCCGTCTTCGAGAAATCTTCTGCAAAAAAATTGTAAAGAATAATAACTAGATACAATCTCGTTGCGAGCAACGAATGGGTCTTTTGTCCGATTCTTGATGAGACGAGATAAGATTTTAACTGAGATTTTCATTCAAAAATGATAATAAAGATTGTTATTTTGAACATTAAAGACTTTTAGATTCGACTTTTGGCCCCTTATATGATAGGCAACCCTTTTTTCTTCATATCATATTATACCTCTTAGGATCCAAAACACTTCTTGTTCAACAACTATACAGAGATTTCTTTTCGTTTCCGAGATATTGGCAAAAAAAATATTTAAGGGCCGACCCTTCAACTCCTTCATGGGGTCATTTAGCGAAAAATGAAAGGTTGCATATGGTTCAGAACATTATTTTGAACATCTTTTGTTCAATATTACTTATCAAAATATTTCCCACTTTGGAAATATAGAGCGTCCAAGATTTAGCATTCTGGCCCCTATTTATGTAACATATATGACCTAAAAATCATAATATTTAGTTCAAGATTGTTGAGATAAACGTTTTTGCTTCAGTAATGTGTAACTGAATTTTGACTGTTAAAAAGAGTATTAATTAAAGTCTTTTGGCCCCTCTCGGCCCCTAATTTGAGGCTCAGTCCCTTTTTAGGTCACCTGAGTCACTCAGGTGACCTATTGCTATCCGTTTTCTTCGTGCATCGTAGGTCGTGTATCGTGTGTCGTGTGTTAACATTTGAACATTTTCAGCTTCTTCTCTTAAACCACTGAACCAATTTCAACCAAATTTGGTATACAGCATCTATGGGTGAAGGGGAACAAAAATTATGAATTTCATGGTCCCTGCCCCCCTGGGGCCTGGGGGTGGGCCAAAACCTCTAAAATTAATGAAATCTTTAAAAAAATCTTCTTCTTTACTCCTGGACATCAAGCAGTCAAACTGTTGGCATGAATGTAATGAGCATTGAGTTTTCTGCCAAAATTATGAAATTCATGGCCCAAGGGTCAGGGATTGTAGTGCTAGGGCGGAGCTATATAGATTATATAGTGAAAATGCATTATTTCTTTGAAAATCTTCTCCTCTGCTCCTGGGTATTAAATAAACTAACATAGTTATGCTGAACAAGAGTACCTCTTCTAAAATTGTGAATTTTATAGCCCCAGGGTCAGGGGTTCCGGTGTTAGGGCAGGGCTCTATTGATTATATAGTGAAAATACATTAATTCTTTGAAAACCTTCTCCTCTGCTCCTTGGTATTAAATAAACAAAAAAAGTTCATAGTTATGCTGAACAAGAGTGCCTCTTCCAAAATTGTGAATTTTATGCCCCTAGGGTCAGGGGTTCCGGTGTTAGGGCGGGGCTCTTTTTATTATTATAATGAAAATACATTAATTCTTTGAAAACCTTCTTCTCTGCTTCTGGGTATTGAATAATCTAACTAAGTACATATAGTTATGCTGAGCAAGAGTGCCTCTTTCAAAATTGTGAATTTTATGGCCCCAGGGTCAGGGGTTCTGGTGTTAGTGCGGGGCTCTATTGATTATATAGTGAAAATACATTAATTCTTTGAAAACCTTCTTCTCTGCTCCTGGGTATTAACAAACTAAGTACATAGTTATGCGAACATGACTGCCTCTTCTAAAATCATGAATTTTATGGCCCCAGGGACAGGGGTTCTGGTGTTAGGGCAGGGCTCTATTGATTATATAGTGAAAATACATTAATTCTTTGAAAACCTTCTTCTCTGCTCTTGGGTATTAAATAAACTAACTTAGTATATAGTTATAATGAGCAAGAGTGCCTCAACCAAATTTGTGAATTTCAAGGCCCCTAGGGTCAGGTGTTTTGCCATTTGGTGTAAAGGGGGGTGTCTTTTGATCATATAGTGAAAATATATAAATTTGAAAATCTTTTCCTTTGCTCCAGGGTATTATGCCAATGATCTAAGTATATATGTTCTTGATGAAGAAAAGTGCATTAGCAAAATGGTTAATTTCCTGCCCCCTGGGTCAGGGGTATCGGGGAGATGGGTTACATAGACTGCAAATAAATTAATGTTTTGAAATCTGCTCTTTGGTATTAATCAACCATTTATGATGAAATGTAATATGATAAAATTTCCAAAAATTTGAAATATGTGGCCCCAGTGTCAGTGTTTTCTGTGGGGTGGGGTGCACAACTGGTTATAAAGTGGAAGTGCATTTTCTTGTTGTTACTCTGATCTATCTCTGGGTATTAAGTAGCTAAAGTAAGCATGCTAAGTGTTAAGTGTATAATTATGATAAGTAATGGTGCCTCTCTCAAAATTTTGAATTTCATGGCCACTGGTTTAAAACGCAAACCAAATTCAATTTTTGGAGAGTTGTTACATGATACTCAGGTGACCTATAAGGCCCGTGGACCTCTTGTTCTTGATTGTATCTTAAAGCACTCTGAATTTTGAACACTTTTTATTCCAAGAACCATATGGAGATGTTTTTCGTTTCCGAGATATTCGCTAAAGAAATATTAAGGGGTCAACCCTTCAACTCCTTAATGGTGATGTTTAGCAAAAAATGAGAGGTTGCATATTGTTCAAAATATTTCCAACTTTCGAGCTATAAAGCGTATTTTGCATTCTGGCCCCTTGTGGCCCCTTTTTATATACCATATCACATAAAAATCATAATATTTTGTTGTAGATTGTTAAGAAAAACATTTTCGTTTAAGTGATGTATGACAAAATATTGACTGTTAAAGAGTTATCAATTCAAGACTTTTGGGACTTCTCGGCCCCTAATTTGAGTGTCCTGCCCCCATTTGTTGATTTTATTTGAAAGCTCATAGTCTTTTAAACACTTTTTGTTCAACAACTATTCATAGATTCTTTTTTGTTTTAGAGATACATGTATTTGCAAAATAAATATTTAGGGGTCAACCCTTCAACTCCTTAATGGGGACGTTAAGCAAAAAATGAAAGATTGCATATTGTTCAGAACATTATTTTGAACATCTTTTGTTCAGTTTTACTTATCAGAATATTTTCGATTTTGGAGATATAAAGCGTCAAAGATTTAGATTCTGGCCAATTGTGACCCCTATTTATGTACCATACGACATTGGAATCATAATATATCGTTGTAGATTGTTAAGATAAACATTTTTGCTTCGGTAATGTATTACTGTATATAAATATTGCATGTAGTTGAGTGTAACATTGAAAATTTTCACCCCAAGAAAACCATTGTCAACCGAGGCGCAGCACCATTGTGAGTAATACCAATATCAGGGATATCCGACCGGAGGAATTAAAATTGTATTTATTAAGCCAAAAATATCCAGAACAACTTGTAGATAATGGTATAAAGAAAGCCAAGGAATGCGATAGAAGTCAGATATTGTTATCCGATTACTGAGACATTATTTAAATTTTGGAGATATATACGTGTATATATATATGTGTGTGTGTGAGGGTGTGTGTGTGTGTAAAATATTTATCTGAGTATGTAATATTTGAGCATGGTAATGCAATAATACGAGGGCCGTTCAAAAATTACGCGGACTGTGCTTTTATTTACTCTTACAGACGTCACATAGTTATAAAATTTCACAGAAATATGTATCTTAAAGTTTCCAATAAATTTTGGGCAAAATTTCTGTATTTTAAAAAAATCTACTAAAATTGTCGGTATGTTGATATCGTTGAGGGAGAGGTACGGCGCACGACAAAAAAATTGAAGCAAAAGCATGCGGATTCAAAAATTTAACTCATTAATTTTCTATAATTCGCGATATTTTTCAACAATTTTCTCAAATGTACCTTTAAATTGTTCTATTATTATGTATTTACATTTCAGACGTAATATTTGAAGTACTAACAGAAATATAGTGATTTTTCTCTGATGCGATTCCCGTGAAAACGACTGTGAAAATGACGTCTCCTTAATTGACGGCGCACCACACTTTTGTTGAAATATGTGTAATGCTCGAGATATCGGCAACATAGATCCAAAATATGCATAATAAAACATGTAGTAAACTAGGCTACTCGTGACATTCGCCCACAAATAGAAAATTGAAATTTTAGACAGTTAGACCTCTGTAAAAAGGCTATACGGGAGGACTGGAAGAAGATTATAGACAAAAAGTTATTTCCGGACTGTAAAGAACGTGATTGAGAGTCATCAATATCACACTATATCTCATAAGTAGTTTTTGGTTTTAAAACAAAACAAGAGGCCCAGGGGCCATAGCGCTCACCTGAGCACATCAGCTAGGAAAAAAACACATATCAGATCAGAACTGAAAGTTAATTTAAGTTGGGGGGGGTTGAATTTTAACCCCCAAGGGGATCATAACTTGAGTGAACTAGAATCTACATTACCTGAGGATGATTCCATACAAATATTACTAATCCTGGCTTTGAAGTACTTGAAAAGCAGATTTAAAAAGGTTTCCCTATATATTCCAATGTAAAACTTTGGTCGGCCATTTTGGCCACACCCTTACCCCGTGGTCATGACTTGAACAAACTTGAATCTACACTACCTGAGGATGATACCACATGAGTTTCATCTTTCCTGGCCCAGTCGTTCTTGAGAAGAAGATTTTTAAAGATTTTTCCTTTATATTCCTATGTAAAACTTTGATCGGCCATTTTGGCACCGCCCTACCCCTGGGGGTCATGACTTGAACAAACTTGAATTTACACTACCTGAGGATAATTTCACATGAGTTTCATCTTTCCTGTTTCAATGGTTCTTGAGAAGAAGATTTTTAAAGATTTTTCCTATATATTCCTATGTAAAACTATGATCGGCCATTTTGGCCCCGCCCTACCCCCGGGGGTCATGACTTAAACAAACTTGAATCTACACTACCTGAGGATGAAACCACATGAGTTTCATTTTTCCTGGCCCAGTGGTTCTTGATGAGAAGATTTTTAAAGATTTTTCCTATATATTCCTATGTAGAACTTTGATCGGCCATTTTGGCCCCGCCCTACCCCCGGGGGTCATGACTTGAATAAACTTGAATCTACACTACCTGAGGATGATTCCACATGAGTTTCATCTTTCCTGGCCCAGTGGTTCTTGAGAAGAAGATTTTTAAAGATTTTTCCTATATATTCCTATGTAAAACTTTGATCGGCCATTTTGGCCCCGCCCTACCCCCGGGGGTCATGACTTGAACAAACTTGAATCTACTCTACCTGAGGACGATTCCGCATGAGTTTCATTTTTCCTGGCCCAGTGGTTCTTGAGAAGAAGATTTTTAAAGATTTTTCCTATATATTCCTATGTAAAACTTTGATCGGCCATTTTGGCCCCGCCCTACCCCCGGGGGTCATGACTTGAACAAACTTGAATTTATTCTACCTGAGGATAATTTCACATGAGTTTCATCTTTCCTGTTTCAATGGTTCTTGAGAAGAAGATTTTTAAAGATTTTCCTATATATTCCTATGTAAAACTTTGATCGGCCATTTTGGCCCCGCCCTACCCCCGGGGGTCATGACTTGAACAAACTTGAATCTACTCTACCTGAGGATGATTCCACATGAGTTTCATTTTTCCTGGCCCAGTGGTTTTTGAGAAGAAGATTTTTTTAAAATGCCAATAATTTTTCTCTAAATCATGATTATCTCCCCTTGGAAAAGGGCATGGCCCTTCATTTGAACAAACTTGAATCCCCTTCACCCAAGGATACTTTGTGCCAAGTTTGGTTGAAATTGGCCCAGTGGTTCTTGAGAAGAAGATGAAAATGTGAAAAGTTTACGACAACGACAACGCCAACACCAACGCCAACAACGACAACGACAGACGACGGACAAATTTTGATCAGAAAAGCTCACTTGAGCCTTCGGCTCAGGTGAGCTAAAAAAAGAATATTCTTTACTTGTTTAATAGATTTTAAGCTTGACAATAAATAGTGTTTTGATGTTGAGTAGATAAGGTAACTCAAACTATACAGGTACTCAAGGGAAAATGTTGAGAAAATGAAAGCTCAATCACATATTTATTATAATGCTTGTGACGTCGAAGATTTTGCTGCGCCGTGACTTAATGGTATGTCCTGAAAAATCACTCAAAATTAATACCAATTTACAACATTTTGATATGAAATTTTGAAGACCGTATAAGTAAAGATTCTTTTATATTATTTGTGAAATTTTGCCCGATTATGTCGTCAAATATTTCTTCTGTGCAACAAGTCCGCGTAATTTTTGAACGGCCCTCGTAGAAGCTGATGTCTGAAAAAATAAACTTACATATTCCTTTCATACTTGATGTTCACAACCCTGCTTATTTAATTTTTAATGTTTCAAATTAATTTTTTAAAATTCTATCATTTTGTTTTCTTCGTAGTTACTCTACTATATAGAAAATGCCCGAAATTTATTTAATTTCACTGTTTGTACATTTTAAAAAAGGCAACATACATGTATGCTAGGTTTTTTTTTTTTAAACTTGAAAACCTAGCGTTTCTATAGTTTCACTGACTCATTTTTTTAACTTGAAAAAAAAAAGCTGATGAAGATTGAAAATGAAAGCGCTAAAGCTTAACTGAGGATTTTTGTATCTTCTTTTTATATTTTTATTTGATCATGGTAATGCAATAATAGAAGCTTATATCTGAAAAATAAACTTACATATTCCTTTCATATTTGATGTTCACAAACCTGCTTATTTAATTTTTAATGTTTCAAATTAAATTTTTAAAATTCCTGTCATTTCGTTTTCTTCTTACTAGTGTTTTACCTGTAGTTTTTCAAAATGTTGGCTGAGTGGGAAGACACGAACTTAGCGCATGCTATTAGAAAAATATGGGAGTTGGGGTATCATTTAGTTGTTCACAATACCTCTAGATTTCCGTTGGATTTATTAAAAAAAGAATGAAGTAACAGTTGCAGAGTAATTTATTATTGATGTCAAATAACATAATGAATGCATGTATTGACGAAACAAGGTACAATGAACTGAAAATGCACTTTGAATACATGATTTGAAAAATTAGAGTTCATTCTGGCTTAACCTGCTAAAGCACAACCTGCAGCACCTGGCCAATCACAGACTTTAAGACCTGCGTTCCACTCCAGCCCTGCAGGACATTGTCTCTCATAGAGAACACCCCAAACACACGTCACATATCCATTACAAGTCTTACAGGATTGATATTCACCACTGGCTTTCCCTTTGCAGTCTTTCACACAAGCTATTAAAGTAAAAAGTATAGTTAATTTATCTGAACAATGAATATCACGGAGTAATGTAAATTGTTATTGAATGAAGACTGTGACACATCTTCATAAAACGCTCTCTTAAGTGTCTCATTCTTTTAATGTTTCAATAATAAATATTTTCCAAAGGAAAAGTTCGGTATTATAAGTTATAGGTACACTACAGGTATTAATTAGTGAATGGTAAACACACTCACAGTTTTTCATTCACCATTCACCAATCAATATCTATTGTGTAAGTTACTTGTACCAGAAGACCAATCAAAAAGGTTGAGCTAACTTGTACTGCCTTAACTGCATGATGCATATATTGAAGATGAAAATATTAACATTTATCAATCAATGTATGGCCAATGAAAACTCAAAACATTGATATGAACATAGGTTGGTCATGGGATCAAATGGGTCTGAAGGTGATTAATCACTGTACCAGATGTAATCATGGCATCTTATTTTACGCTATATGCCGAATAGTTTGAAGAATATTTATCCTTGAAGGTATCCATCCTGTTTTAAATACTCTGAAACTTATTCAAAGCAGTTTAGAGTAGAAAAGGATTTACTAGGAGAAATTTTCAAAAATATAATTACCCGAGCAGTAATTTATCAATGAAGAATGCATTGAGGTCTATGGGAACAAGCAAGTTTTTGAAAATAAAAATTTAAATACTATGAATATCAAAATAATTATGCTATTGTGGAAAGATGTATAACATTATTAAGAACAGAATAACGTTTAAAAATAATTTTTCACCAAATAGATTTAAAAAAAAGAAGAATTTTATTGATTAAAAGCAAAGGATAAATCTTCAAGGACAGTGTCAAGATAAAAGATTAGGACACATCCCACTCTTACATATTGATACTAAAACATGAAGATTATTTGTACATATACTGTGTATTTTGAAAATTAGTATCACATCTGGAGTACCACTTGGTAATCAAAAATAACTTAGTATCTCATTCGTCTGACTTAGTATCTCGTTCGTACGACTTATTATGTCTTATATGGCATGCCAAATTCACAAAACTGAGCTAAACATAGTTTCACAGTTGATAAACTAGGTTTACGTTCGTTTACTACAGTTAAGAGTTGTAAACCATAGTTTACAAATCGTAAAACTGTATTTATCAGATAATCTATGTTTTGAAATCGCAAATGATTGTTTTCGGTGTGAAGTATAGTTTACGATTGTGAAACATAGATTATCGTGTTAACTATGGTTTACAGATGTAAAATATAGATTAACATTGTTAACTATAGTTTACAGTCCTTAAACTATAGTTTACAAATGATAAACATAGTTTATCAACTGTGAAACTATGTTTAGCTAATTTTTGTGAATTTGGTGTGCCATAGTCGTACGTACGACTTAGTATCTCGTTCGTACGACTTAATGTGTCATACACGACTTATTATCTCGTTCGTACGACAAAGTATCTCATTCGTACAACTTAGTATCTCATTCGTACGACTTACTGTTATGTCGTACGTCTGACTTATTATGTCATATGTACAACAGAGTATCTCGTACCTACGACTTATCTTGTATGACAACTTAGTATCTCGTACGTACGACTGATTATCTCGTACGTATGACTTACAATAATATTTTTTTTTCAAGTGGCAGCAATACGCATCCGTACTATTTCAATAAAGCATATACATGTATAATTTTGCCATTCATGAAAAGATTTTAAAATTTTTTCCAACATTATTATTCAATCTACCATTGCAAACCCTGGCTACCCCCCCCCCCACCTCCCTCCGACAATATTTGAATAAATTTAAATCTTCACTACTTGCAGATGCTTACGTTTCAATTTCACTAAACAAATTTTTCTGTTCTGGAGAAGATTTTTTTATATATGAACTAATGTGTTTGGGTCTATAAAAATTCACCTTAAAACCATTAATTTATTTCTTTATGAAAATTTTCGAAAGAAAATATTAAGATCTATCAATCATAATATCAATTCTTTTATCACATTATCAAAACAAAATAATAAACTACCAGCGAATGTACTACACTAACTTGACAAATTATAAAGAGGTTTAAAATTATTTGATTTATATTTTGAAAAGATTGTAACTTACTTCCTGTTTTCATTTTGGAGTTGTTTGACATTGTTGTGGCACCTGCTTAGAATGAAAAGAGAAAGTTAAAATAAGTGATTTAAAATTAACCTTATTATCGGTATATGAATAAAATGCCAAAAGAGTAATACATCAACTGACAAAGTTTTAAAAAATTCAGATATTGACTTGAAATTTTTTTTAAAAAAAAGTAAGTCACCGTGACATATTTTGAGGATTCAAATTATACCAACGGACAATGTTTGATGACTCAAAGCCAATGTGTTCCTTACATATGAAATAAATAGCCATAGAATTTAAATCATGTCATAGTGATTACTTTGTACCTGATATTACCTGAATATAGCCATTCTATTCAAAAATAAGGTCATTGTGAACTATTTTTCACTTGACACATTCGGAGGACACAAGATACACCAATTGACAAAGTTTGAGGATTATAAGTACCTGATGAGCTCGAGATATTTAAACGTCGTCATAGTATTCCAAAAGTAGACCAAAATGACACATTTTACAGATGACAAACTAAGGCCAGATGCATCAAATGACAAAGTTTAATGATCAAAGACCTTTAAAGTATTTAAAATCTGCCTCTAGAATAATTGGAAAAATTTATCAATGCAAAATTATATATATACCTTTATGCTCTAATCTTAAATGTTTTGAAAAAGATTAGCCAAAAAAATTTAGGTCAACCAACTTTTTAGTTGACATACTTAAGGACTCAAAATGCATAAACTAACCATACTTGATAATCATAAACTATGAAGTGTGCAATCTTGCCCCTAAATCAATTCTAAAACAAAGTCACGCAAAAATAAAATCAAAAGCAGGTCATGCTGATTTGACGTCCCCGGATGTATCAACAGACAAGATTTGATGACTCCAGTATTTATAGTAAGCAAACTATCTTCAACAGATCCTCATCCTTGTTTTATAATAATGATGATCAGCCCAGTGGTTCTTGAGAAGATTTAAGTAACCAGTACTTTTGTGTTTCTTCGAATTATCTACCCTTGTTTATGGGTCACATCTCTATTTTCAGTATAAACGAGAGCCTTGAGCCAAGACAGATTTGAATGAAAATGGCTAAGGAATTTTTCAGTAATGGTCCATATTCTAAAAGGTTAACACCGCAAAAATGACCATAACATAGTTCTTTAAGCCTTGAACCAGAACAGCTCTTTTAAGAACATACCAGAAGTAACAGACTGTGTTGACGAGACAGCTGTTGTAATGCTTGAAAATGTTGAAATGCCATTATTTGTCATGGTATTTTGAGCCGTATTATTAATTATTGTATTGCTGTTAGATGTTGTATTGCTGATTGGAGACGTTGTGTTACTGGTTGCTGTTGTTGCAGCTGGACTGACATATGTATTTCTGGGGGAAGTTGCTGTCACGTTGTAACTGTTGCTGATAGAAGGTGTTACTGCATTGTTTGAGGGCTTTGTATTGCTGGCAGCAGTAGTTGAAGGACTAGTAGATGAATTACCTAAATTGACAAATGCGATATTGGAAATATTGTTATTTAATTGTTATTTAAAATTGTCATTATATCTTGTATTTGGTTTGGCGCCATATCCCTGATGTTTATACTATTTTAACCAATCAGATTTGAGTCAGAAATTGACCGTTTTAATCAATACTCTCTATGCCCCAAACAGTATGCCAAAGTTCAACAATCAAATTACCATTACCAATATCCATTTCAAAAGCAGATCTGTAGATAGTGTAACTTGCAAATAATTCTTGGAATTTCCAGACGAAACAAGTTTTCTTATGTGAAGTATATGCAAGTGGATATATATAATCTTCAGACGTTTTACAAGTGCATACTTTATCCTGACTGCAATGTCTTACAAAACTATTGATACTTTAAAAATCATTATCTTTAATTGAATCTTACAGCTAGCAATAAAATGTTAGCTTATATGCATAAGGACGTCTATGTTTTCCTACCCGTATCCAATGCACAGCCCAGCAGGTCAAATCTCATTGAGATATGGTTATTCCATTCCAACGGATTTATTCTGATACACTTTGCAATCACTGGACAATCAAAATTGTGACTCACTGTTGAATTTTCATCCGTATTACCAACAAATATCTGAAATATAATAACAAGAAAATAAGGTGATGTGAGCTCGAAGAAAGCAGAGTTAAAACGCGAAATGTAATTACAACACAAAATCTAATAAACCAAGTTTGCATTTTGTGTTATATTTTCCGTCGAAACTACTGAGTAATGCAGAATGTTATAACGCAAATATACAGCACACGTTTTAGAATTTTACATTTGTTGTTACATTTTACGTCGAGATTAAGCAAAATGCAAGAACGCAAAATGTAACAAGAGGCCCCGGCAAGTTCAGTATTCTATTATCAGTATCAATGTATCCATAAGGGAAGGAGGTTTGATTTGAACTGAGTTTGTTACCTCATACTTTGACAAATCATGGGTTTGAAAGTTTTTTTTTTTCTCTCCCTATGAGCTTATACCACTGGGGGTCTTGATTTGTCCAAAATTGAATCTATCCTACCTAAAGGGCTTCCATATAAATTGACAAATCATGACTCGGCTATTGTTTAGAAGAGTTTTTCTATAAATTTCTAAGGAAAAATTTGAAGATTAATTGTGGCCCCACTCCACCCCCAGGGGTCATGATTTAAACAATTATAAATCCACACAAGCTGAGAATGTTTCCATACGAGTTTCATTTTTCCTTGCAGGGTGGTTTTGAGAAAATAGTTTTTCCAATGTACTCTTGTAATATTTTACTCATCATTTCGGCCCAATCCTTCCCTTGGGGTCATGTTTTGAAGGAACTTTAATCTACACTATTTGGGGATGCTTTCACATAAATATGACCGATCAAGGCCTTGATAACAATATCATTTTGTTAACAACGCAATAACAACGCAAATAACAATTGTTTTATTTCATAGGTATATAGTAGTATATGATGAAACAGACTTGTGTATTTTTAGATAGAACTCGTTCGATTTTGACATACTAATTATGCCTTTTTGCCTGGTATAACTCATTTTTAAATTTATCATTTTATTTTTTTTGAGACCGATTTCAGTGAAATCTAATTAAAATTGCAGCGATATATTTATTAACCCACAAAGCAACATACGTATGTACTTGGTTTATTTTCTACAAAAATGTGTATGCACTAGTGTTACCCAGATTTGTGTTAGAGGGAAATTAGATTCCTCAACACCAATCCACGTCCTTAAAATACTCAATGGACCAACAATGTGCAATCCTCTGATTGCACTCTTAATCTTGCTCAGTCAAACAGTCATCTTTTCATGCTAATTATTGACTCATTCATTGTACAATATGATTGTACAACTTTCCTTTAAAAAAAGAAATTAGCAAGCTTAATAAAGTTACGCATATTAAAAATCAACCCTGTGTATACTTTCATTGACCATCATTCCGGACACAAAAGCAAAAGGCGAGAATTTATATTAATCTATGCAGTAGGTCACTTCTGCAGCAGTGGAGAGATCTTATCTACGGCTTTACAGATATTAAAGATTCGCAAGCAATGCCCGCTGAGTTATCAGTCAGTCTGAGTCGAGGTTTTGTTCTCTGTATTCCAATTTGCTTTATATGTTACAGTTCATCTGATTCATTAAGCACACTGTATTATTGTCTAAAAATACTGGAGCAAAATTTTTTTCTTTGTTAAATGATCATCAAAATACCATCAAAATCTCTCATCAAACTGCAGACGCTTTCTTAGGAGGTAATTTCCTATCTTAAAATTAGAATACATGCACGATCTTTGATTACGTATCAGAATCGGCATGATTTTTAAGGTGAAAGATACTAATGAAGGAATTAAAATGACGGACTAAAGTTGTATACAGAGAGCGATTGTGGACTATTGTCACGAATTATAATTTCTATAAAGTATAAGTTAAATGTGAAACTATTTTCTTATTTGCTACATATGCTCATTTTTCTTGGCGGATGTTTGTCATTTGCACTTTCCTGACCCACTGATTAAGGACAGTTGATAAAATCAACTCCGCAAAACTATAAAGTTTAACCTCCCGATGAAAAGCGGGAGGGTAGGTATTCGGAAGTCTGTCCGTCCGTCTGTTACATTTTGGCGTACACATCTCTTATCCACAACTCCTCTCAATACCACTAAATTAAATTTGATAAGGCTTTTAAATTACTTTTTGATCTGACGCATATTTAAGGTTTCTCATAGCAAAACATGAACACTGCCATAATATTCATATGGGAGGTGGGGGTACCATTTAGTGAGTTCGTTGCTCACAGTACCTCTAGTCCGTGCCTGTATTTATTATATGTCAACATTCATTTTAAATAAAGCATGGATAATCGGGGAAAAAACTAAACAAATATAATCAGAGGCATCTTATTAAATATTCTTCTTTATAACCAACCCCAAAGCTTGAAATTGATCGGGATGTCCGTCCGTCTGTCTTGACGTCCGTCCGTTGGTCTCTTACGCTTTGGGGTACCCATCTCTTATCAACAACTCTTCTTAAATCACTGATTGATTTTTTAAAATACTTTCATAGAATCTTTGATTGTTACATATATTGTCATTGTGCACCTCTTATTTTATTTTTTGATCGGACACATATATTGTTGAGTTTCTCAAAGCAAAATATGGACACTGCTATTTTTTCTATAATACTGAAGGATACCCATCTCTTATCCGCAACTCCTCCTATACACATGTTTATCACTGAATACAATTTAATGATATTTTTAAACAGGTCGAGGAACTACCTTATATGGATATTGTTGCGATTGTGCACAGAGGTGCTCACAACAAACAATGGTCCAATGCAGTGAATTTTCCGAAAAGCATGATGGTCTACTACATGTTTATTTTTACCACAAACACATGGGTCAGGGAATTTCAAATGACTGCAGGAATGTCAGCTAACAATTTTTTGAGATGTGTTTATGAAAAATACGAAGATTAGGTACTAATAAAGATTCTCCATGCTCACATTAACAAACAAAGTCAGTTTTCCTTGTTAAATATTACCTTGAAATACCGCTCACAAAGTCCTCACAAGAAAATAAGACTCAAGTTTTTTTTTAACTTGATATTCGCTAATTTGCCATTTTACAGGTTAAATTAGTTGTTACCCAGTCATTTGTTACTAGAAATTAAAAGTTGCATTTTATAAAAAAAACCACAAAAAAAAAGAAAAAAAACGTCAGTTGCATTTTTAAAAATTATTTACCTGTTATATAAATCCCCATGCACATTGATCATAGAGCGTGAGCAGCATATATTTCGAAGTTGTATAGGTTGTAAACAGAGTTGATTGTTTTTGGACCAAGTAATAGTCACGTGAAATTGACTTTTCACCGACAGTACAGCACGGTGAAAGCTGTCAACAAACGGACTTGTACAATGGAGTGGAGAAAAAAACATTAACTTTGTCACTAGAATCATATGGGATGTGGGGGTATCATTTAGTGAGCTCAGTGCTCACAGTAACTCTAACACATAGTAAGTCGTTTGTGTATGAAGATGTGATATAATAAATAAATTATTTAATTATGAATGTTACATGTAAGATTGCAAAAACCTATTCCCAAAAAAGTCGAGGGGACTCAAGTGGCAGTGGGACAGAGGCGCGAGATATTTGCCTTTTTCAAATAAAAAAAAAAAGATCAGTATTATTTATAATTTTTCCATTTTATAAATCTGATCACTGCTAATGGTTCTTTTTTATGTAGAGGTCCCGTGAGACTAATTTTCACATCATTTTTTGGCAAATTGGAAGTCAATACGCAGCTTCCAAATATTGTTTCTCGTTGTGCTTTATATATTAATGCATTTGAAAAAAAATAATGAGTTTCTGCAACATAAAAATTCTTCTTTTAATCTGCTACACATTTAGGGAAAATAATGAAAAAAAACTGCAACAAGTACCCTCTTTGTATTCACTGATAGATCATGTAGCCATTTGTCTATTAATCGACTTACAAAATATAAAATTATACAATAAATCAAATGTTTGTAATTGTGATTTATATTTAATCTGTGATTGAACTGCATTTAATAATCTTTCGGAAAGCAAGTAAAAGAAACCCTTTGTCAAGCTTTAAATTTTACAAGTAATTTTGTGGTACTCCCTCTTAATTCATCTCAGCTGATGGTCGATGAGAAAGTCATGCCGATGCCTCAATTACGAGAGTTGTTCGAAAAGTTCATGGACGATGTCAATCTTCATTACATTACTCACCAGAAATTTAAACTAAGCACAATATTATATGTAAAATATTTATTTTGTTGATGTGAAAAGTTTCATGCCATTCGATTTCACAGAAATCAATTTACTTCATTTTAAAATCATGTTTTGTACCCGCGGAGCACACTTAACGGCAATGTTACGTCAAAACATAGCGTCAAGAATTTCAAAAAAAAAACAAAAAACAAACAAACAAACAAAACAAAAACAAAAAAAAACAACAACTATCCCTTTACATTTCACACAGTATAATCCAATGCCCACTCATTAAATTTTTTTTATACTTGACATTTATTTGTTAAGAATTGTTGTCGTTGTATAATTTCTTTTGTTAAGATTTTATTTTTTTACTGAAGGTTCATAAACCCTCTGCTCACTCATATAAAATGTTGTTTGAACCTTTATGATTTTCCAAAAATAGATGTATTTTTTAAGATAAATACAAACAATTATAAAATAGCTTGCGGAGCAAAACTGGACAAAAAAGACACTTCAACTTGGCAAATATATAAAGGAATAATAGACGTTTATGTCATTAAGAGTTATCTCTCTTATCAGAGTATCAATGGACCTTAAATCTGCTTTCACAGGATAAGCAATTCTGAAGCACCTATGTCTTCCTTGACGTTCCAACTTTTTAAAGTTTTTGTTCAGATTTTGACAGTTAAACCTAAGCTTCACAGATTGTCCTCATCCGATACAGAGTCTCTGTCACTCAAATACTGCCTGTACTATTTGTACACGCATGCACAACTCGCTTGTGACATATTTTCTTGATTCTCCAACATTTTTAGACTTTGTTCAGGTTTTTCTTGAGTAAAACTCAAAGTGCATCGTTATCTGCTGCTCCGTGACGTTCTAAAACTTCATCGATGTTGTCGTTTTCAATGAAGATTACCTATCTTCTCAAGTTGATTTCATTTCAACAAGAAAAATATAAAGACATAATTTGGTATACGAATCGATGTAACAATTCTTCATTTGAATTTCTAGGTTGTTTTTCGTTTTTACGCCACTTTACAGAGAATATGACTACGGACATTATATTGTGTATTGTCTGTAACTTAACTAAATTTTGACCTGTTCCGCGGTCCAATTAATGCATTTTTAAAATCTGGATAAGTTTTGAGTAAATTTTAATATTTTTGAAAAATTTAATACAAATTTTTTGGATTTATTGTAGAAATACTTCTACCAAATTTGGATAACATATGGCGTCAAATAAAAAAGATATGACAGTTGTCCACGAACTTTTCGAACAACCCTCGTAGACTGAATTTATTTTTACGTCAAAAGTACCGGTACATATTTCAATATGGGGCCAAAATTAAATGGGAATTGGATGTTAGCATGGTATTCCTACTCAAATGGAACATCTATTTCTTCCAAATAATTGCCGGTGGAGGGGGTGGGACGAACCTCACATCACCCCCACCTAAATCTGAGCATGCTGCTTATTTTTCTTGAATTCTCTGGATTATCTTGTTGAATCGAACTTGATGTATTCTAAGAAAAGGTCTGGCATATTATCATTTTATTGTATTATTCTAGAAATATACTGACCGTATCATTGACAGTGTGGTCTCCCATTGGCTGCCAACTGTTGGTATTATTACTACAATCCAAACTGTACAATACTCTATACTTTTTCACCCACTGCTGACAACAGCCACTTCTTCCTTGAGTCATTATGCCACGTACAAGACTTGGTTCATTTAAATTCACCTGATAAAGAAATAGTCTCTCTATTATATTTTTTTCTTTTTCATTTCTTTCAACTGCTATAAATATACTTAGTTTTCTGTAAATAGGTTTAGCGTCCTTTCCAAGTCTTTCGCCTGCTACAAGTACTATGTTTTAAATGGAAAGTACCTGTTCCTCTAAAAAGTTTGACTTGCCGCATTGGGAATCCAACTTCGTGGTATAAATGTAGAAAATATGTCTTAATATTAATGATCTTTTTATTAATATTCACGGGATATTTCTCTTATTATTTCACAACCAGGTTCTCGATGAGTTTGCATATATGTACACGTATCATTATAATTAAATCAAAACAACTCTTTCATAATGTTAATATTTTTAATTTATATGATTTTCCAGAATTAAGTATGATTATACATAATTATATACACATTTAACAAAACTTCTAAGTGTTCGCTCTAATAAATGTATTTATTTGAAAACTACTTTATAGAATGGTATGATAATTTCAAATTATTACAACAAATGAATTTTCTCAACAATTTTTGAAAGAAAATCAAATATTACCAATGAAAACCAATGTTACGTGAATGTTACGTGACAAAGCTTAAAAAGAAAAAAATCTGTACTTTGCGGGGGGGGGGTGTCAACATTATCGCTACATCGCCAAAAATTTCAACTCATTACAGCTGCATTTTCTTCAATTTTTCGACCTGTCATTACCGCTACATTTTTTAGTCGAAAACAACTCATTACCGCTACATATGGAATCAGCAAGGTATCAAGGTACGGAACATAAACATGTAAGTTCCAATCACAAAGCTTTCACAAAGAATTCAGCTTAATGTTTTACAGTTCTAATTTTTAAATTTTTGAATTTTTGGCAATGTTGCCAAATTACCCCCCCCCCCCCCAACCCTTGTTGGAATGTTGATATCTGGGGGAGGTCAACATAATTGCTACATCACCAAAAATTTCAACTCATCACCGCTACATTTTTTCAAGTTTTTGACCGATCATTACCGCTACTTTTTTTTTTTTATACCAAAACAACTCATTACCGCTACATATTGAATCGGGCGAAAAAAAACTCATTACGTGTACCACTACATATCGAATGGTATAGTAATGAATATTAGTTCCAAGATCACTGTGTAGTGAGGTGGCAGGGGATAAGTTTTTTTTATGGTAAACATGTGCTGAGGGGGTACACATATACATGCTATCCATAAAAAATGTACATAGAAACAGTTTTCCGGGGGCTCATTAAATTCACTACATATGCCCATGACTCACAAATTATTTCAACAAATTACATGTAATCTGCCTATTAGAGTGCACATGTACAAAAAACGCACCCCGGGACTACCCATATTTTGGTTTGTTTTTCCGAGATTTTGGCTTAAGTCGAACCCGTAATTAAAGAAAATCAACCAATTGATATTGGGCCATTCGCCTTCCCTCTGAGATACACACCTTCTTCTTACGCCTACGGCTTTTGAGCTGAATTTCCTCTGCAACTGACCTAATCTCTTGGTTTCGCAAACACTCTGCTTCACTGCAAATGTGTGCCATAATCTAATAATTTTTCTACATAAAATATCACATCAAACAGGGAATTTATCAGTTTTGTAAGAAAGGACAAGATAGGGTAACGGCCGAATCTGGCCCCTTGATTGATGTAAAAATCAGAACACTGCTAAAATTGTGATAGTTTGTGATAGTAGTTAAGAAGTTAAAATTATGCTTACTTTAAAACAAGCACTAATTTAGATTTAAAGCTTACATGGAAGCCATTAGAGGGGTTCCAGAATTTCCTCAATTCTGGTGAAATTTCATCATATTTTAGATACTTTTCACTTCGGAAAACATAGAGCACAAGCTTGCCTATCTGATTGATTGTATATTGTTTAACTTACCTCTCGAAAGTTTTTCACTCATATGGAGACGCCACCTTTTGCCGGTGGAGAGCTGCAAATTTTGTTCTAAACTCGGCACTCAGGGCTATTGAGCAGGGAGGGATCTTTTTCGTGCCAGCACCTAAACTGCGACACGGGAAATCGGTTTATACGGTCTCATATGAAGGACCGGTCTCCACATCCCACAGTGGTATTCGAACCCGCGACGTAAGGATTGACTCCTTAATTCGCGACTCTAGAGCATACGCTCTAACCACTACGCCTCGCGGACGACCTTGCCTATCTGAGATTTTTACACATAAACTGCATCTGATACTAGTGTGTAAAATATACTTGGTAGAGAGGCAAGCTTGTGCTCTATGTTTCCCGAAACAAAATGTGCTGTAAAATCGAATTAAATTTGCATAAAAATGAGAAAAATTGACCTATTTCCTGACCTCTCTGTGACCTCTGTGTATTCAAAATCTTAGAACCAATATTCATTTTGTGGCAGGGTTGACTACAGGTTTTAATGGATAAACTGTTGGTTCATTCTAAAAGACACTCAAAAATGGAGGCCAAATACTGATCTTACCCTATCTTGTCCTTTGACTGGGTGATTAGTACGAAAGTAAGAACGCAAAATTTAACAACAAACGTTTGAGGATTATTACATTGTGCGGTTACATGTATTACATTTTGTGTCGAGATCAACGCAAAATGTAATAACGCAAAATGTAATGGCACGATTTTTGGATTATTACATTTTGCGTCGAAATTAAGCAAAAGGCAAGAACGCCAAATGTAATAACACACTTTTTGGTCAGGCAGATTGAGTATAATTTATAATAGAGTGGTGGCCGATGAAAAGAAAATAAAACAAAAGAAAAGAAATATATGCAATTTCTTACAATTAATAAATTTTATAATATATTGATTTAATTAGCTACATGTATTTAAAATTAGTTAAAAACATTTATTCAAATTACATGTATACATGAAGATGTTGCAATATAGAAACGTGCGTGTGTGGGCGGGATTATTGACCAGTGTGCTTTTGTTTGTTTTTTTTGTAAACAGATGCACTAAATCTAAATTGTAACAATGCAGAAACCATTGTATTATTAGATGGAGAGAGAGAGAGAGAGAGAGAGTCAGAGAGTTTTGTTTTTGCTTGTCTGTAATGTTGGTGATTTGTATTAAACAGTATGTATAATAATTGTCAATAAACCCCCTTCCTGCTATATATTTACGCCTGCCAGTACAAATGAATAGGTTTTTTTTAAAAGATTCATTGCATTTGTCTATAAAAAAGCAAAAGCACACTGGTCCACACACGTACGTTTCTAATTTGCAACACCTATAATTTGAATAAATGTATTAAACTGATTTTAAATACATGTTGCTAATTAAATCAATAAATTATAAAATTCATAAATTGTAAAAAAAAAAAAAAAAATTGCATATATCCATTGTTTCCTTTTGTTTTATTTTCTTTTCATCGGCTACTAGTCTATTATAAATTTACTCAATCTAAACTGGCTGACCAAAAAGTGTGTTAAAACATTTTTGCATTCTTGTCTTCTGCTTAATCTCGATTCAAAATGTAATAACACAAAATGGAATAATCCACTTTTATTACATTTCGCGTTGTAAGATAGCGATAATGTAACGTTTTTGTAGCGGTAATGAAAGTTTCAAAAGTGTAGCGGTAAAGATACGCATCCGATATCATCCTTGCACCACGTTTTACTCACTTTTATTTTAGTTTTTAATTGTCCTTGATATTGCTTTTAAAAAATAAACAACCAGTATCAAAACCCATTTAACACATTTTTCTATAGACTGTGCGTCATTTTCATCGCCATCTTATCACAATTTGAAAGCTTTGGACAAAATTTAACCAAACCGGAAGTGGCCTGTATCTTTCTCTGTGGCCAATTTTTGCGTCACATCAGGATCCATAAAAAGTGTTAAATTGCCCTGAAACAATTTTAGAAACATGAAAATAAACAATTTCAATCGTATGAAAATAATTTTAAAAATCGGTGCTTGTGGCAGTCTAACATCATCTCAAACAGTCTAAATCATCCTCAAAGCGACCAAAAGACATCTGTGTGATAATGCACTCCCAAATTCCCGGATCTGAATCCCACAGAACACATTTGGAATTTTGTAAGGAATGTCAAAGTCCCCCATCACCATGGTATCCAACAGTAAATGATGTACTGCAGTAATTAGAGCGATTTGTGGTCTTACTCTATAGAGATTATTTTATGTGAATTTTAATTTTGGGGGTACATCATTTACTTGACACTTTGTTTTAAATTCTGACGAGATCCTGATTACTTACATGAAATTTACGAAACATCGAACTGAAATATGCATCATTAACCATGAACTAAAGAAATAATTTATTGCATGCAATTTTTCTTTAAAACTTGAAAAATGCTAGTTGAACACTTAGAAGTTTGATTCAGTGTATATATATTTATACTTTACATTAAAAAAAACACGAAAAACTTCCGTAGATTCAGTTACTGTAGTTTTCGTGTTTTTTTTCTTTGAATTAAAGTATTTAATTCCGATATGATTACTTCTAAAATAAGCGTATTCACAATAAAACAACGATGATTAAGACATGATGAAAAGGGCAACTAAATTGGAAGATAAATGTTAACCTGAATCCACTGGTCTACATTGAGATCTTGGGCAGACCAAGCCCCAAGATGTAGAACACCTTTTGAATCTTTGGTTTCAGTTGTGTTTATGCGAGCTCTGGCAACTGTATAGTCCTTTGCAGAACTTCCTTTATGGTATGAGGAGGAGGCTGAGAAGGCACTGTCTGGAACAGGATTGACCCCAGACACCAACTGATGGTTACAAATGTCTAGAATGTAATATATCAAACTTTAACTACTCAGTATCCAGTTTCGGCTTTATTGTGCCCTTAAAATTAATTAAATGTTTTCAAAAAAAGGTGGCATAATCATGAGTTTAGAATATGAATTTGTCATGAAGGAGGACCAATCTGTGACATCTATAACTCGGTGCATTTCTAAACAGAAAAGTATCAAAATGACTCGGATCAGATTACTCAAAGCAGCTGATTTTAGTCAGTATGACTATATTTCTTATTCATTTTTTGTGAAACATTATAGGAGTTTTGAGTTATTGTCATGATACATATTAAAACAAGAAGTCCGTGAGCCAATGCTCACTAGTAAAACCCCCGCTTGGATGTGAATATACACTATCATGTTAATATACTACGCGACGAGTTCAGGTACGGGCAGATACATGTAGATGCACAGATAAATGGGAAGTTGACAGATTAATATAAAAAAATCCCAACATATGGCATATGCCTCAACAAAGTATATTCTAAAATTTCAAGCATTTGTAATGAGAAGTTGCTGAGAAAACTGCGATAAATTATTGCTATGTATGGGCAGACGCACAGATACACAGTAAGTTGACATCAGAAGTGAACAAAAATGACCATATGGCATGCCTCAGCAAATAGTATACTAAAATTTCAAGCATCTGCAAAGAGTAGTTGCTGAGAAAACTGCGACAAAAACTTAGTATGTATGAAATGGACAGATGCACGGATATAAAAGAAGCGACCAAAAATTTGTTACGGGCAGACAGACAGACGGACAGACATACAAGGGTAAAAACATTACATCCCCTCTTCGTCGGAGCTGGGGTGTAAAAAGTTTAACTAAAACTAAATTTGAAAAAAAATAAAACATTACCATCTCCTACAGCAAAAGGTACATGCCCTGTGAAAGAAAAATATAGCAACATTGAATTTAATAACGAAGGTTGTGTCATGTGTAAAATTATTGACAGCCTATTTGTATTGAAACAAGAGGCCCATTGGCCAACAAGGAACTGGGCTAAAATTCCTTTAATTTGAAAAGAAAATCCACAAAGTGCTAAAATCGACCCGGTCATCAAAATATTCTTTTTTTTTTATCTTTCATTGCACAATTCTCCTAAATACCCATTTACAATTGCCAGTTAACCCAGGTAGGATAACGACATGCATGTTTTTGAAAATTTTAACATAAAATCAATATCTTTTTCTAATGAACCTCTAATGATTTTTATGCGTCCAGATCGATAGATCCAGGGCTAGCTGCAGAACTGTAGCATTATGGTTTTATATATTTGTCTTTGACCATATAACGCTACAGATCCCGTAATGCAAAAAAGGTGCAATTTACGGCGCAATATTTTTTGCGCACTTTTGGGGAAAATTTCTAGCATTTGTCAATCAACTACCTTTCACTCCTTAATTCTAGACACATTCTGTAGCCAACATGTATATTTTATCCACCTTCCAACCATTTATAGTTGTCTCTACAGGCAATAAACTCGCTTCAAGTGAATTTTTAGGAATCTAACAATTGATTTTAATCAAGCGAGTTCACTTGTAGAGACGACTATAAAGGGTTGGGAGATGGATAAAAATATACAGATTAGTTAAATAATGTGCCTTTATTTAAAGTTAATTGACCGATGCTGGAAAGTGGAGAAATTCTCCCCATAAGTGCGCAAAAAGTATTGAGCCGTAAATTGCACCTTTTTTGCATTACGGGATCTGTAGCGTTATGGTAAAAAAAATATATTTAAAAAACCATAACGCTACAGATCTGCAGCTAATCCAGGGCGTATATTGTTTTTGTCCTGTCTGTCTGTTTGTCAACTTTAACCTTCGCCATAACTTTTGAATCCTGAGAGATAGAGACTTTATATTTGATATGGTTAATTCACTAAATACGCTCTTTCAAATGACACCAAGATCAATGGCCTTGTGACCTTTACTGTGACCTATAAGCTAAAAATAGCTTTTTTGATTTTTCTTGAAATTAGATAAATTTGATACTTTTATTTCCGTTTTGCATTTATTGAAATAACAGAATATTTCCTTAAATAAAGTAAGCAAGTTATATTTAATTGAAAAGTTTTAGAGTTTTCTTTCAGGCAATGTAAATAAATAATTAATGTCCATATTCATTTCATTAAGGTATCCATTTATGACTTTATTTAATATACAACATTCATCATAAGTCTTGTTACAAGATGCCATTAAGGACTTTCATGTAAGTTCGATATCAACTCATACTATTCCCCCATCTTCTTCTTTGCCTATAACATCAAAATAAATTAAACTTTCTCACATAATGCTCTAATATTTGTATGTTTTTTATAAAAACATTTTAATTTTTATGAATATTTTTCTCTGGTTTTCTTTTGAAAATCAGTCTTGTTTTCCCAAATAAGGCTATCACGTAATTAAATTTAACGTCGCGAAGACGTTTTGTATATAAAAAGAAACACATGTACTTTTATGAATACAGAAATCAGCAAAATAAGCTCTCCTTCAAAAATTTTTGGAATATTTTAAAATGAATTTTTCAAGAAGTTATGAAAACTTTTGTTCATTTTTTGCATAAAGCTATTTGAATTTTAAATAAATGGCAAATATTTGTTATTTACAACATCTGCCTGGTGAAATTGAAAATACATGAAATACGTTTTGAATGAACATGAGGGACACATTCAGCTTAAAAGAAACACAAAGTATTAATCTTTCTAAAAACTAAGGATGCTGACATAATTCTTTTGAAAAAAAAGCTGTTAGATAATACTTAGGTGACCTATAAGACCCGTGGATCTCTTGCTGGTTCGAAAGTTGCTGAAAGTTTTTGTAAACATGTGGAGGTATTACAAATAAGTGAAAAGTTAATGGCATCTTTTAAAAACTTTTAGCCATGGTAGGTCATATTTATATGAAAACATTTTCAGGTGGTACATGCTCATTTTTTAATCGTGACCCTCTGGGGGTAGGATGGGCCACAAAGTCGAACAAATTTTACATAGGAGTGCAAAGGAATAAATCCTTTAAAATCTTCTCAAGGACAACAAAGCCATGATTGATGACATTTACGGGACAGCATCCTCAGCTGGTGTAGATATGCAACCAGCTGCATATATACTAATAAAACAGGTGATATGACTGCGTAATCCCATAGATACTTTTGGAGAGACACCCACCCCCCACCCCCCCTCCGCTCCACAAAAATACCTCACTTTAACAGTATAAGAGAGACTGTGGAGCAATTATTTTCGGGGGTATTACGATTTTCACCTATTGTACACATGATGAATAAGTGTAATAAATATAATTTGTAAAGAAAAGTCCAATGAGCCCCGGCAGTGTGGGGGGTGGGTTCGTTTTTTAGACTGTTAATGTGGACACTACATAGAAATTGTGATTTTTTTTTTCTTGAAAAGAGATTCTTTTTTAATTTGGATTTTAATGTTAACGACGTTCGATCCTGATATTTAAAGTCTTAAACTTTTTTTTGTAAAGTATATTTTTAGTTTCTACACATATAGCTTAATTAAAAATCAAATCAAAATATAGGGGTCAATATGCTTCTTTTGGAGCTACAGTACATTAAATATGACCTTTTTGCACTGAAATCTATGTCTTTATAAAAAATTACATCTTCAACGTTTTCCCTCTAATATTTTTATCCTAATAAAGCACGGAACAAAATAAACTATAAGTCTATTTAAAAAAAGACACTTTAAAATTGTGACGAAGAAAAAGTTTCAAATTGCTACGCATACTCAATTATTTGACCTTTCTGCACTCACAAAGTGGGATTTTTCTGGCATTAAAAATTTAATAAGCAAGAAAATTATTTTAAAGTCTTAAACTTTTGCTGAATTTCAGAAGATAGGTCAAAGTTATCTTAAATATTCAGAAAAGAACATCAAAAGTGGGAGTATATGAGGTAAATTTTTAGATATTACGAAAAATTTGTCAATTTTCTGATAGAATTGGCTCAATTTTTTCCTGGACTTTCAGAATATATTTACTTTATTTGTCATAATTCGTCGAAAGAATTCATAAGAAAAAATTTAATAGATATTTCAGAACACGCATAACACATTTCACTGCAATAAACAGGTTTGTGTGCAACCAGCACGGGAAAATAGGAATCTAAAATTAACAGTACTTTATTAATTTCAAAAGGGATAAATTGAAAATTTTCTTCTAAAAAACCTTCCACCACAAAATATAGTCCCTTGCTTAACCCTTCTTGAATGGAATTTAATTGCGGTTTTTATAGTTTAATTTGCATTGTAGAATCTAAATTCAATGCTAAAACTTAAAAAACGACGCAGAATTTTAGAAATAAAGGTCTAGACCAAAATTGAATCAAAAGCACAGGATCGAACGTCCTTAAGAATCCTCTCTACACTGCACACTGAAGAGTTCAAGTTTCAAGTTTCAAGTTTTTATTTAAGACAAAGACCCCAACTGGGGTATATGAATACAAATAATACAAATTTTTTTTTTTACATATAAACAAGAATGCAGTTCTGATTCTAAGTATTTTTCTGCAGTTAGAGTGATCTGCCCTTAGATCTAAATTCAAAAAAAAAAAAAAATAGACTTTACACAATATTACTCAATTTGTAATCAATTCAAGTATTTTCAACATTTTGAAAGGCCATAATTTAATTGAAAGTGTTATTTACATGTATTTTCTCTATTGAAGTAATTAACAACGATTTCTATTCACTGATACTGTGTTATCTTTGAACATTTTTCCCGGGGGTAAATGCCACGCACCATACATTGAAAATTAAATAAATCAGCTCAATATTAACTCCTTTATACAATAAATTTTTCTCAATGTCCAAAAAAAAAAAAAAAAAAAAAAAAAAAAAAAAAAAAAAAAATTGCACTTGTGTAGAGAGGGTCCTTAAACATCTATCAACTATAAGTATAATAGTTTTACATGTTATTTTTCACAACTAAAGGCTGGATATAACATAAAGTGATTTTACATGTAAAATGTCCATATTTTGAAGGCTATGACTGCATTAATTTAAACGTTTATATTCATTGTAAAACTTTTTTTTACTACTATTTAATTGTATATCTTATATTACTACATATAGCCTACATAACATGTGCATTGTGGAAGAAAGAAGTTAAGTTTCAAGACTCGTAGGGAAATGAGATTTTAAAAAAAATTATTTTTGAAAATAAAAAAAATATCGTCGTGTTATTTTTCATGGAATTAATTTAATCTTGAGAGATTTTAGTACCGTTGTTCAGTACTATTGTTGGGTACTACGCACGTGCATGTACAAACAGCATCAGTACACGTGGCGTATTTCACTACAACTTAATCCTTGTTTTCAAAAGATTTTCCATTCATGAAATGTTTATTATTTATCACCGTTAACCTTATATGTATATTAGATTACCAATGACTATTGATAGAATTTAAAATATAAAAATAACCCCATTTTGCGTTAAATGTGTGTCATTAACATCGATATCAAGTGAATTGTTTGGTAAAACGTGTTTTCGTATTGAATTTTCCCAAAATTCATATTGAGCGCAAGTGACAACCAACACAATTTTAACTGTATGAATAAAAGATATACCAAAGAACTTACATACATTCATGCAAAATATAAAATTGGTTGTTGCATGCAAAAGGGTCTAATTTTTGGAAAGATCGCTTATTTCCAACCATTTTTCAACTAATATTAGCTAACATTCCATGTTTAGCGCGTATTGGTGACGTCAAAATGAAAAATTACGTCATTTTTGTACCTGTGGAATTTAGTTCGCATCTTACTTACTCCAATGCAAAAAGAAAAGTTTAAAATATTGGAAATTTTGCGGCAGATTACTGCTACTACCGCCCTTTATTCTTTGTTTTAAAAATGACCCCGGGGTAAATTTGGGCCACAATAAACGATCAAAATAAAAGATAGGAATATTGTTAGCTGCAGAACTGTAGCTCTCCGAAAAAATAATATATTGACAGACCGGAGAGCTACAGTGCCACCCTATAAAAAAAAACTGTATATATATTGCGCACAAAAAAGTGCGCTGTTCTTCGATTTATTTCTCCATGTTTTTAAAACTGTCATCTCAAAATATTACTAACCGTGTCTTCTTAACATATTCTTTGACTGTTTCCACAACAAGACATTCCTTATAATTTTTTTAAGCCCTCCTAGCCCTGAAGTTTGGATCATTAAAATTTTCGCCTATTTATGCTGCTATTTTGGTTTGTAAGATAATCAATCTGATTAAAATCAGATAGCGGATCGAGGATCTCATTTTAATCAGATTGTAAGATAATTTGGTCCAACGCGCTTCGTACAAATGTAAACCATGAGAGTACTTGATTCGGGAGTAAGGAATTTAATGAAATAAAGCTTTTATTGCAATTGAGGTAAGAACAGTGCGCACTTTTTTGTGCGCAATAAATATACAGTTTTTTCAATGGATGGCGCTGCAGCTCTCCGGTCTATCAATACATGTATATATTTTTTTCGAAGAGCTACAGTTCTGCAGCTAGTTACATAGGGAAACAAATCGACAAAAATCTTTTCAAGAATAGCAAAGATATATTATTGGTCATATTTATATATTTTTAAAAACTTTTTTTTCTCATAAAACAGCAAAGCCATGATTGGTCACATTAATGTAAATTGTAAAACCATTTTAGATTCATGTACGAGAGCTGTTCAATAAATAATGTCCTTGGTGCTCGGAAAGAAGCAAAAGTCGCTTTTCAATGATTTAGTCTTAATGATTTAACTTAATATTCTCTTGTAATTAAAACACAAGTCTGGAACATTTTTTATCCAATTCCTGATTGTTTTAGAACTCATTATTGGGTATGACCCTTAATTTAGTATACTGGAAAATGGCAGATCCTATGATTTCCTGGACCAAGTTTTACAGCAGCTTTAATTAAGCTTTTGATTTCACTCTGTATTGTATGTCATACAGTTCAGGACATTAATTATTGAACAACCCTCGTATTAGATCTAGGACTCAGCGTCCAAGATTTCAACGTAAAACGTGACTTGTTTATTTCATATATTCAATAGTCAGTGCGATATATTTCACGCTCATTAAAAGTTTTGCACGAACCTCCTTTTTCCGCATTTAACATCATCAGTGCTTACATTTATTTTTTCATCTTTCTAAAATTTAGACTTCTCTAATCTGTTGTCTAAGGATTGATGTAAATGTGGTTCATGGTTTTAAACGTTTTCAAAACTTTTTGAATTACACCCATAACCACTTTTTGCTGTAAAAAGATGTAGCCATATCTGATATGAGCCAGAAATTCGAACGTGTTTTCGCTTAATCTAGTGTTTCATTTTTCTTCTGGTTTATAAATATCCTCATTCATAATATCACTGTCGATGTAATATTGTTAATTTCTTGAACTTTGGGTATAATGCGTTTGAGAAAAGTCTACGAAATCTGTACTTAATTCCTAAACATATTGCAGTTCAGTTTCGAGTGGGATGCCATTTTCCAATTTAAGAAAATTGTAACAACAGTAATTTTTACCAAACACTTCTTTTGAATGTATTTATTTGATCATTTAAAATTATAGTTTTTGAAACAAAATTCCCGCAAGCCACTCGATTGATCACATCATGAAATAAAAAAAAATTGAATAGCTATTCCTTAAACATATGTAATTTGAAGATACTTTTATTGGGTTAAAATTTCGACCTTTTATAAGACCTTTCTGAATGAAAACTGAACCTTGGAGCCCCTTCAGATGTTTAAATGAATATTGTTGCATGAAAAATTTTAATCTTTAAGCTTCATTTGGAGACTTTTTGAAATAAATTATAAATTAAAGAGTTATCCTTCCTGATTGAGAATCGAAGTACCTTAATTGCCAATTTCTTTTATATATAAGAATTCATCTCTCTCTCTCTCTCTCTCTCTCTCTCTCTCTCTCTCTCTCTCTCTCTCTCTCTTTTGCATTTTCAATGTTTAATTATGAAAAATATACTAACACTAGTGAACATTTTTTACCAAGATTTTACCCAACAATCCTAATATCTTTCTATACGTACAAGTTTTTTCCAAATTCTACCAGCATATAGATTCCTATTTACTTACCAACTAAAGCCAAACAAAAAATATAACAAAAGAAATCCATTGCCATCTTCACAAATGACATACTTCCTTGATAAGTTAAGAGAATTCAGCTATTTATAGGGGGTCTAAGCCTAATGTTGGTGCATCCGTAGGAAGAATGAAAAGAAGATTTGTCATAATACAATGCGAAGATGATTCCCCCAGCTTTGAGAGAGTCAAGGACAAATATCTTTTTAATTACTGCCATATCTAGATCTCCCTGTTGCAGTGTTTACTCTTGAAAAGGTTGATAAAAGATTTTGGGTGGCTCTGTTTGCAACAGACAGTCCCCTTTAAATCTGTAAGTTATTCACTCTTATCTCACAAAGTCAAAGTTAAACATTTCATTTCCACTCTTAAAGTGGATGTTTTTCTCAGCAGCAATTAAACTTAACAGCACAAAATTTTCCAGATATCCTGCTACCAAAAGGATGCAGTCATATTAATCTTTCATTACACAATATTTTTAGACAAACTGTGAAGTGACTCAAGATGAAATTTCAGAGTAGATAAGACAAATGCAATCCAACTATGATAACATTCATATCAAATACACATTGATGAAATTTCAGAGAAGATACTTCTACCCACCCAATCGTTGTATTCCAGCGATTTATTTTGTTCCCACATTAATACTCTTTTAACCCCTTCCATGGCATATACGCTTTTCTACGCCTCTGGCGTGAAAAACGTGTAGAGTGTAAACAAATATTCATAACTTCTTTAATACTGCGAATATTGAAATAATTTTTGTATCATTAGAAAGAGGGAACAATTGCAAAGAAAGTTTGTTCTAAATTTTTTTTAATTTGATTTACCAGTTTTTTGGTATTCTGAGTTAAACAACGTGTATTATTCAACCGATATTTGCCGCGATCGAAATCCACGCGGTACAAACACTTGTCAATTTTTCGTAGCAAAACACGTTTAAACAACTTCAGAAAATATCAAAACCAAATAGTTTATTCAATTAGATGTGTTAGAAACTAATTATCTAGTTAAAATATAAATAAGCGTGTTAGATAATGATATAAAATGTTTTTAGTTGACCAATTCAAAAAATATTTTTGAGAGTTACGTTCGTATTACGATATATAGATATAAAAAATGTTTGAATTTCTCTGGAAGAGAAAAAAACGAGTAAAAAATTGTTTAAAATACATAACCACATATCCACATTTACAATAAAGTAGATGGTTTTGTTGTTTTGATAAAAAAGAAAACATGCGAAAATATTATGAAAATCTGTCGGGATCGTTCTGCGTATATTTGGCAACATTCGTAACACATGTAAACAATATGGCTTCTTGCGACATTTCTTCATCCCCAGAATCGTCAGATATAGATACAGACGAAAAATTTGGCGACGATTCATCCGAGTCTGGATCAGATTTTGATCAGGATGATTCAGACAGCGACCATTCCTTTGGAAGTGAGACAGACAGCGATGACAACCAGGACACAGATTCGACATTATTTGACCTTGACAGCCAGGCAAGCGACATTAGAGATTCTGACTTCTGGACTGATGTTGTGGAAGACTTTGATGTTCCTGACTTCGTCGATACTTCAGGTCCCACTCATCAGCTCTCTTCGGATGCAAATCCTCTGTTATATTTCCTGCTCTTGTTTCCCTTGAGTCTGGTACAGGTACTTGTAAACAACACCAATTTGTATGCTGCTCAGAGTGGAGCCCAGGGTTGGACTGATACCACCATCGACGAGATGAAGGCATTCCTCGGATTACAAATTCTGATGGGGATTATTCAGCTTCCCAGATACACTATGTATTGGTCATCTGATAAGTTTATCGGTAAGTTATCAAATTTGCACCTATCTTGTTTTGTTTCTTTAGATTACTTTCTGTTTACAATAATGTTCATGTTACAGTTTGAAAAAAATATTGTCAGTCATTTTCCTTTCCAGATTTTGAAAAGTACATTAAATTTTATTATATTTACAACGGACACTGATCCATTTTTCCTTGATAAAAAATTAAAAATAAGGAATATTATTACATGTAATGAACTTATGTTAAGTTCATAATTGTTGTGGCTCGCATTGTCTGGAAACCTTCATGACTACGTTTACTTTTTTTGTCTTTGTTTTGTGTGTGTAACAAAGATATAAACATAATGTATTGAACATTTTTGTTTTTGTCTATAAATTGCACACCCATTCAATTTGTTTCATTTGTATTAAATTTATGTTTGTATTTCTATTCAAACAATATTTATGTAGATGTTGAGCTGACCAATGTCTTCAAACCTTTACCATGAAACAACTCGGATCATAAACTTTTCTAAATATTGAGGAATATGTTGAATATAAAATGAAAATACTTTACACCTGCTTAGTGCTCTTCTGGAATTGGCAGTGTAAGTCATTTAAAATTGTTTCTTTATTTCTTTTCTCATTTTCTAGAGATAAAATCCATTTATTGTTGAATTTATTTTTTAAAATTGACATTGATAAGTGAAATTTACAATCATATGCAGGTAACATTGGTTTTCAAGAAACACTGAGTTTGAAAAGATTTGAAAAGCTCACTCGGTATTTCCATCTAAGTGATAATACTACTCAGGGAGCCAGAGGAACACCTGAATTTGACAGGTATGCAATTTATAATTCTCTATTTTAATAGTTTATCAATATAAATATTCTAGAAATTATTCAACAGTGATCTTAAATTAATTATAACTATTAATATTAGTTACAGAAAACCAATAATCAGTTATGAAATTGACACTGATTCACATCACTATAGTTTAGTGTCTTCATTTTGTTTTATACATTTATATTTACATTTGCTAATGTCTTTCCTTATATGACAATATAAATAATTTTGACTTTCAATTTTCAATGACATGCAGTTGGGCAAACCGCACGAGACTATTAGAAAGTCTTGACTGTGATGTCGTATGCACGCTGTAGTTATGTTATGTTGCATTTCTATAACAATGTCCAAAAAGCGCCTATTTTTCCTTGTAACACGAATAAAAGTAAAATATAAATATAAGAAATAAAATATCATTTTTTAGAGTTTCATTGGGATGTGACATGAAGTCAGTAGTTGAGGTTATGTGTCCTCCACCAGTATCTTCCTATCAACGTTATATGAGTGGAGTCGACAGATGCATGCAACACCGCGCAAAGAATCCTGTTGGCAGACCATCCAAAAAATACTGGAAGTTTTTCTTCAACTTTATTATGGAAGTTTGCCTTATAAATGCATTTGAGATTTTTTCCAGAACACCTGGTAAGGATCTTCCTGCCAAAACAAGGTTTGACCTGCTGGATTTCAGGATGGAGGTGGCTCAGCAACTTATTGGAGGCTTCAGAGGAAGAAAGCGGGGCCATCATTTACAGGGTATTCTTGACCCCCCTCATGTTTTCTGCCATCTGGATCGCCTAAAGTCAACATGCAAATGGTGTACCAAACACGGAGAAAAGAAAAGAAAGGAGACAGTTTATGGTTGTAAAGGGTGTAACAAACACTTGTGTAGTGAACGATGTTTCAGGGAATTTCATTCTGATGTTAATCTCTAAGATCAATTTGTTACATAAGTCACATAATCATGCTTGGGAAATTTGTATGAGATGTCACTTGCAGGAATACATAAAACATTGGATTACTGTACATTACAATGACTCAAAGATCAAGGTTAATATTCCTTAATTTTACGCATTATATTTCAAAATTTGAATACCATGTATAGAGGCATATCAAATCTTCTAAATGTTATTTTGGAAGCTAAGATTTTATTTTGTAAATCTCCTTAAGTTTGTAAGTTAAGAATGATGTTGTCTACTCAAAGATGTAATTTTTTTCAATTATGCAACATTGTGCTATGTCATAGATCAAAGTTCAACTTCATTCAAATTTTGAAAAGTCTATGAATTATAAAAGTTCAAAGTCTTTGATTTTTTTTCTATTCTTTTTTTGTCCAGAGCCATAGATAACATCTAAGTTTCTGCTTGTGTAATTTTATCTTCATATTTACTTGAAAGTATTTACCACTTGTAAACAATTATGATCATTCTTACCAGGGTAAAAAAGTGTGACAAAAAAAGAATTGTTCGAGAAACAAATACATGTATAATTTATACCTGCACGACAATATTGGAAAAAAGCTTTAGAATTTGTTATTGTGAAGAAAATAGTTGTTGACTGGTCAGGGGCAAACATTCTATCAAACCAAAAATCACCAGAAGTAATTTACTCTTCAGAGGATAACAGTGAACAAAAATTGTTGTCTGAAAAGCAACAATGTACATGTAATTAAAATCAGACTTCTTAGATCTGCATCGTATATACTATGTTGAGCGAAGGGTTTTCAAAATCTTGAATGGTTAATATCTTTATATATTTTGAATAGTTTGACCTTTGACCTTTTGACCTCCATCTCAAAAGGGGTCATCATGTACTTACTAAGGGGTACCAGTCATGAGTGTACATGTACTAAGTTTCTTGTCTGTCAAGCAAAGGATTTTTCAGACATGGAATGAGTAATACTTGGTCTATGATTGCGAGAGATAGCTGTTAAGCAACGTTATTCTTCCTTTTCCCTACTGGAGCATAAAATGTTGAAATCCTGTATTTACTCCCTAAAGTGCTTAAAATTTGACTAAAACTTATGGTAAACAATATGCTGCTATGTCTCAGCATAAAAATTTACTTACTTTAAATACTTTACTGAACTAAAAAAGTTAATATATAACTAATTGAAGGTTTAATAGAGATTTCTCAGTAATTTGGGCATATTTCGTTGCCATGGCAACAGAAAGAATGTTTTCATTATCATTTTCAGAAACCTCACAATACCTACTTTCAGAATATATATACATTGGTATTCACAAAAATTACAAGAAATACCCGAAAAAATGCATTAAAATCTTGATATCAATTTCTCTAAAAATGCTAAAAATTTTTGCCATGGAAGGGGTTAAAGATAATTAAAGTGGCAATCCATGACATGTCTCATGACATTTTTTAAAACAAACAGCAGACTGACTGAAAACATATTTGACAAATAAATAAAAATCTACGGTAAAATACACTTGGATAAAAAATAACATTCTTAAAAAACTTAAACAGATTGAATATTAAGGTATTTCCAACCTCATAATTTTAATGCTTCAAAGCAGAAAAACTTAGATGCACTTTTATTCACTAAATACTGTGAATAATTAGAATTCATGTAGGCTCACTTTTTGTGGAATTTGTGGGTACCTCACATCCATTAATTCACGTCCTCCATGAATTTATTTAACTATGGTTATAAAAACCTATTTTAAATTGACTAATAATTTGAAAAAGATTTATGTTGCCATATTTTCTTAAAGATGTGAGACATACATGAACATGTAAATAAACAAAGTACAAATCAGCATAAATATTATACTGAAGTCGTTTTAATTCCACGGTGTTAAAATTTCATGATATCTCAAAAAGTAACATTTGCGATGGTTTAATTTCACACTGCAAGAAATTAATTCAAATTTCGTAAAAGCATTTAAACTTTTTTAAAAACTAATAACAGCATTCACCAAGGGTTTAATTTCGCGGAAAAATGATAAATCGCGAACATAATGAAATTAAAACCATCGCGATTATTTGCCTATCTACAGTATTTGGTTATATAAAACTAAACTTTAGAGAAGTCCCGCCCGCCCCTCTCAAAGTGCCCAGCCCTGTTGTGTGCTCTTTTGGTTTGTGTTTGTGACCAATTGGTATCAAGAGTATGTACATATAACTTTACTTTGCAAGAAGCAGTGGTAAGAGCGTCTACTTTAGAGTCACAGAGCAAAAAATTGCTTTTTCAAGATGATTTTTTTTCTCGTTTTTGTCGACAATAGTTCCATGCATTTAATAACATTCGGTCTCCTAGCTGCAGAACTGTAGCTCTCAAAAAAAATATTTCGACAGACCGGAGAGCTACAATGCACCCAGTCAAAAAACTGTCTATTCATTGCGCACAAAAAATACGCTGTTTCTCGATTTATTTTTCGATGTTTATAAACTGTCATCTCAAAATATAACCAATCCTGTAGCATATTTTTTCACTGTTTCCACAACAAAATATTCCTTCTAATTGTTTTAATAGCCCTGCTGGCCCTGGAATTGAGATCATTTCAAATTTCGTCTTTTATACTGCCATTTTGGTTTGCAAGATAATTCGGTCCAACGCACTTCGTGCAGATGTCAACTACAAGAGTACATGAAAGAAAAGTAAGAACTTTTTAAATCAATATTTTTCGTGATTGAGGTAAGAATTCGAAAAAATTAATCCATAAATAAGCGCAACTTTTTGTCCGCAATAAATATACAGTTTTTTTTTTAAACAATGGGTGGCACTGTAGCTCACCGGTCTTTCAATATATTATTTCGAAGAGCTACAGTTCTGAGCTATCGGTCAGTGGGATTAAATAATTGTCAGGTAATTTTTTCCTTTATTAGCGAAAGATTAACATTCTAATATATATATATATATATATATATATATATATATATATATATATATATATATATATATATATATAAAGCACTAAAAATGACCAACGACACGAACAATAAAAATTGTCAAATTTTCGGGACGCCCTGTCCTTTCCTCAGGACAAAGAAAAAAGTTAAAAAGTCATACGAACAAAGGAAAAAGAGAAACAAAAACAACTAGCACTACTACTAAACTACTAAACACTAGATATTTACATACTTAATTACATGTTGAATTGGAAATTTTTAAGAACACTAATAAAGAAAGAAATCCGGACCGCTATGAAATGCGTCCGGTCCATCGGGTATACTCGGGTGAAGTGCGATTTACATAATTGAACGAATTAATTATGCTAATTAATTACGACAATCAGTAAATCGTACATTGTTTCATTCTCTCAAAATGGCGTAACTTTTCTTAATAAAGAATAATGAAAGAAAAATCATATAGTAGGGATATTTAAACATATGAATTGTGATGAATTATAAATTTTGGAATATTTAAGGACTTATTATCGGGAAAAAAATAATTAACAAAGGCGTAAGCAATACATAGTTATGTGGGTTGTTCGAGAGTTGGTGGCGCGAATTAACTGTAGAGTTTACACTAAATTGAGAGAATAATCTTGTTTTTAGTATGATCAGGAATTGGGTCTAGTTTACGTTCATTCTGATGAAGTCGTTCAATTTGTTAATACCATTAGGGCGGAATGACTTCAATCTGTGCATCCAGAACTTTTCTTTGCTTTTCCTCTGAGCATCTGTCCATCTTGGGTTATGGTCAATCACCACTACTGTCATGTCCTCCCATTTGTGACCCTCAAGGTTGAAATGTTCCCCAACGGGTTCATTGAGTTTTTTGGTCCTAATGGTCGAACGGTGGTTATTGACTCTCCTGCGGAGATCTCTTGTTTCACCAATATACTGTTTGGAGCAAACTTTGCAACTGATGAGATAAATGCAGTTGTCAGTATGACAGGACAAATTCCCTAGTATTTTGTAGCTGCGGCCTGTAACAGGGCTGTTAAAACTGTCTGTGTCAGTGCTGTGCTTACAAAGAAGACATCTCCTGTCAGAGCAAGTTTTAAAGCCCCCGTTAGGTAATGGGTTG